TCTAATTAACCGATTAAGAGATCGAACGCGTGTTTGGCCTAGGTGGATATCGATCCGGAATTTGAACCCGTGACCATGCTTGTGTGATAGTGCGCCACTCGCCACTACACCCCTCTCTCTGCCCAATCCGAGTATGTGTTTCGGCTTTATTTGAGACGTAACTCGATACGAATTCCAGACCTATCCGATAAGGAGTTCAATTGACAAGAATGTGGACGTTACTTTACAACCAATTTTTTACTGAATTTCCTTGAAAAATCAGTCAATATTTTCTTTTATGTCATTATTCACCATCTCTTTCCAAGCCTCTTTAAGTTTTTCGACGCCCCGCCCAGAGACCTGCCTGTCTCTCCATGACTTATCGGTAAACTTTTGAATTCTCATGGGAAAACTGATTCTGAAAGAAAAACAACAGGACTCGTCGATAATCCTCAAGAGAAATGTTTGAAAGGTCTTCAACAGAGGGAACGATACTTTACTAGTTGATCAAGGGAGAATAGAGATTGTGTTAGTAGTTTCGTTGGCTAATTTCCTTCGTCGCAGCCTTTCACTTCGCTAGCTCGAAATTGAACCACAACTATTCTTCATAGGCACGACGACAACGAAGGGGGTGATTGGACGTGATTCCAGTCGCTTCAGAGCAATGTGTCTTGGCTACGAGCGTGTATCACCTGACTGCACATGATAGAATTTGAATGGTTTGCATTGGGTGATTATCTGCGTCCGTGGGAATTCGGGCCCAAGATCTGTCGCCTTCGCTAAACACTCAGTATTGAATGGCAGCGGGGGGTCAAGACCGGTTTCTGAGGGTGTGGTGCAGTAGGGTCGAAATTGTCGCGTCATGGTGAGAGAGACGCCGCGCGCGAAGGAATGTGGCAGATTGCAGCAGCGAATAGAAAATACAGGAACAGAAGTACCGCTATCTATCTAGGCCATTTTTTGACACGACCACACCGCATGCGTCGTAAAGGTCACAGCTTCATACCAACAGTGAAACTTGGAAGCTCGCCATTTGCGGTGCAGATGAATTCCCTTCTAATCGCATTTGATAGGACTTCATTGGTGAAATTCCAGTTTGAAAAAACACCATTACTTATGTAACAGCCTAATAGTTGGAACTGAATTCTTCCTACGTTGTGGGTAAGTCAGCGTTGCAGTCCGGGAACCACTTCGCTCTTAAGTGTTCCATAAAATTGAAACAATGAAAAGGTGATCTGCAACTAATTGAGTGTGGCTAGGCATCAACACTATCAGGAAATTGCAGTAAATGGGTGCAGGTAGCCTTGGTTTTTCTGAGAGTGAAACAGAATCTTTAGGTTGATCAATCCAGCTTTTGGGATACGCCCTGCACTCGACTTCCGTTCAGAATGGTAGTAGCGTATTGAATGGTAGTGTTCGGCTGATACAATAACTTGCGGTGGCAGATGTTCAAGTCACTGGTATTCATCTTCCCAGAGGAGTCTGGTACTAAGTGACCAACCCTGTAGGGATGGAAGGCTTGGTTAGCCTAAGCGAATACCGATCCGGGATTCGAACCCGTGATCATGCGAGTGTGGTAGCGCATCACTAAACTACCTCCGTCGATTGCTGCGAATAATGACCTCAAATCTTGCTCTCTGAACGGGAAGCATACAATGGCTCTTTACAATCGAATACCATTTCAGGAAACTATTTTATTCAGAGCTGAATATAAAACAATACAAGTTTATGAGGTATGACAAACAACATTTTAATGCCAAAATGTTATTAATGTTGTGTTATTATTTAATGTAATGTTTAATGCTATTTATCTTTCATAATGATAGGAACAACTGCGTTCCATGAGCCCAAATTGTCACATTGGGCACACAGGTCAACGGCTAATCGGATTATACCA